CGCTTAACCGACTGCGCCACCCAGGCGCCCCTGGAATGTATTTTTATAATACAGGTTGGGAAATCATCACAGTTCATAGTCCAAGCAGACGGCATTTTAATTTTATAATAATAAAATAAAATATTAGAAGATATTAAGCAAATTAAAATTAAGCACAGGAATATTTAATTAGTTAAACCATGTAAGAGGAAATATCAACCATAAGCCAGTAACAATACTACTTAGACTACTAAGACCAAAAGCAATTGATTGCAATGTATATAAACAGGGAATCCTTGACAGACGCATTCAGACACAAAATATGTTCGTCTCATACATGATCGTAAGAATGCTAATGAAACTGAAAAGGACGATCTATTATTTTCAGCTCTAATATATATCAATTTGTCAAAATCATTTTTCTCTGATCCAAAATTTTACTTTTCGTTCCTATCACAACCCATAATTAATTAAATATGATCTAAGAATTGGAGTTCATTAAGGTGCTGGAAAATCAGAAGGCATTTAAAAACTTTTCGTACTTTCTTTCACCTTATCTAGTTTGACTCACACCCTTTACCTCAAAAGCAATCTTTTTTTTTTAAGAAGCTAAGAAGTTATTTTTCCCAGAGCAATTTCTTTTGGATCAAGGGAATTAAGGTCTAATTTGTTTTAATAATCTTATTTCAGTTGCTTTCCCCATAATAAATACATTATGTAATTAAAGTCATTAGCGTTTGGGGGAAGGAAACTGAATGAACAAATGTAGCAACCGATTGGGGACTTCTGATCTAGCGATCATGTGTGTCCCACTGATGTCCCATTGAAAGAAGGAACTGGCACAAGGCCAGTCAGGGGGTCATCCTCAGAGACCTCAGTGATTATGTCCATACAAATGAGGATCTGGAAGGAGTTTCACGAACCGGTAGTAATGTTCTTTCTAAGTGTTGAGGAGTATGGGAGGGAGGAGGGAGCTGGTGTATCAAAGTGAATATTTAATTTTATACACATATGGATTTGTTCAAAATATTCATATGAAAACTATAGTTGCATGACACCATTTAAGGTTGAAATGGAAAACACAGGAAATCACTAGTGTAGTGAACATAGTTTCATATAAGGGCAAGTGCAGGGATAAAGGAGAGAAACAGGACTCATATTCAAAAAGAATCACAAAATGAAGTGAAATAGTAAAAACATGTGTCAATTAAATGTACTGTGGGAGTTTCAAATGTGTGCACAAAACAGAGAACCTGACAATTATGACATTGCTGAGTTATAATAGATTCCTCCGGCCCCTGAAGACCCTCAGGGATTTGAAAGCAATAAAGACTCGTAATTTCCCCCAACCATAGGGGTTCTGTGGACACTCCAATCATAGGGAGGGTCTAAATTAAGGTCTCCTGCTCTTCTAATGGCGTATCTGGTCAGAATTATTTTTTCTTTTTATTCTTTTTTTTGCTTGAAAAAGAAGTATCTTTAAAAAAAATTTTTTTTAACATTTATTTATTTTTGAGAGAGACAGAGACAGAGTGTGAGCGGGGGAGGGGCAGAGAGAGAGGGAGACACAGAACCTGAAGCAGGCTCCAGGCTCTGAGCTGTCAGCACAGAGCTCAATGTGGGGCTCGAACCCACGAGCCGCGAGATGATGACCCGAGCTGAAGTCGGACGCCCAACCGACAGAGCCACCCAGGTGCCCCAAAAAAGAAGTATCTTTTAAATGGGACATATATATGGGTGCAACCATACTATAGCTAAGAGATTTTACCGGGGCAGGGGGGGCCGGGGGAGGGCAGAGAGATACAAGAATGGGTCAATCCACAAGGGTAGCCCTTGGGGGTGTGTGTGTTAAAGAGTGTCAGATTAGCATGACAAAAGGACAATTAAGGTGCTTGAAAAATCTGTTTAAATGGCAGGATAACATTTACATTTTGACATTTAAAGTCCTAATTATTCTTTTTTCACATCCCCACAATCTTTCTGCCCTAGTCATCTTTACACAGTATTTGCACCTTCTGCACAGATTTCCCTGCCTCAAAGAAAGATATGGTTCACAATCTTCCACTGATGATACAGATTTAGAGACGCCATCGAACACTCCATTTAGCACACCACGCCCCTGCTCAAACAAAGCGCACAACCACACGCACATGCACACACTAGCGGCGGATATCACACAAGACACGAGGTATCCACTCAGAGTGGGAGCCTGTCTACTTTGTTACTCACAGTTCTGTATCTTAAAACCTTTAGAGGGGGGCGCCTGGGTGGCTCGATCGGTTAAGCGTCCGACTTCAGCTCAGGTCACGATCTCGCGGTCCGTGAGTTCGAGCCCCGCGTCGGGCTTTGGGCTGATGGCTCAGAGCCTGGAGCCTGCTTCCGATTCTGTGTCTCCCTCTCTCTCTGCCCCTCCCCCGTTCATGCTCTGTCTCTCTCTGTCTCCAAAATAAATAAATGTAAAAAAAAAAAAAAAAAAACCTTTAGAGGGAATGCTGTTCTGGTCACTGGGTTTAGTGAGAAGCAAGTGAGAGAAGTTTCGAAACAATATAACCAGGGAGAGAGGGGAGATGGCAGGTGGCCCTGAGGCAGTTTGACAAGACTGGTGATGTGCCTCTGGTTTCCTCAGCAAGTGTCTTTCCTGTTGGTCTGTGTTTGGTCTTATGTACCCTATCTATCTATCTATCTATCTATCTATCTATCTATCTATCATCTATCTATCTATCTATCTATCTATCATAGATCATCTTTTTGTCTATCATATTTCTATCGTTTTTATAAATGTTTAATTATTTATTTTTGAAAGAGAGAGAGAGAGAGAGAGCGCGCACAAGTAGGGGAGGGAGTAGAGAGAGAGAGGGAGACACAGAATCTGAAGCAGGCTCCAGGCTCTGAACTGTCAGCACAGAGCCGGATCTGGGGCTCAAACCCATGAGCTGCAAGATCGTGACCTAAGCCGAAGTCAGATGCTTAACCCACAGAACCACCAAGGCACCCCTCCTATTTCTATCATTTATCTATGTGTCTGTATAGCTATCATCTACCTAAGACTTCACCCCCCTTCCCAACTCAGCCAAATTTTTGAAGAATGATCCTGGATTTCCTAAGATAAATATTTTCTAAGAATCTGATACTTACCTGAAAAGAAGAGCTATTTACCCGATTTAGGTTTGCTCCCGGGACAAGGACGGCCGCGGCACCGTATGTGAAGTATCTTAATAGGACATATATGCCAGAGATAAAGGCTTGGTCTATGACCTCATGCGCTTGCTGGGAAGTGATAGTCATTTCACCTGTAAGTGCAGTGACAGTGTCTGCTGGGGAGCAGAGACTAACTGTAATTAATCCCCAAATAACTCAAAAATATTTGGGATTGTGGAACTGACTGAAAGCTATTAAA